TCCCTTGGTTTCAGAGGGGCTCCAGTTCCCCTTGGACCTGGAGGAATCTCCATGAGTTCCCGTGATCCAAGAGGGTTTCCCATGGTCTCCTCTGGAGCGAGAGGGGTTCCAGAGGCTCCCTGGGTCCAAGAACTCCCGAGGTTCCTTTGGTCCAAGAGGGTCTCCATGGGGTCCCTTGGGGTCTCCCTTGGTCCAGGAGGGGTCTCCATGGTTTCCCTTGCATTGAGAGGGTCTCTCCATGGTCTTCAACCTTGGGAAGCTCCAAGGAGGCTCCCTCAGCCCCAGAGGGTCTCCATGGTCTCCCTTGTTTTGGGAAAGGCTCCGTGGTGTTTCTGGAGCCTTCAGGGTGTTTGGGGTTTCCCTCGCTCCAGGAGGATCTCCACRGGTGTTTCTCAGGCCAAGAGGGGATCCATGGTCTCCCTCGGCCCTGGAAGGCTCCCTTGGATTGAGAGAGGCACCATGGGCTCCCTTGGACCTTGGGGAGCTCCAGAGTTGCCCTCAGCCCACGAGGATCTCCATGGCTGCCTCTCTGAGTCCAAGAGGATCTCCATGATTCCCTCTCTCAATCCCAGATGAAATCCATGGTCATCCCCCTCAATCCAAGAGAATCTCCAAGGTCATCTCTTAAATCCAAGGGGATCTCCATGGTTCCCTCTCTCAATCCAGGAGGATCTCCATGGTCATTTCCCTCAACCCAAGGGGATCTCCATGGTTCCCTCTCTCAATCTGAGGAGATCTCCATGCTTTCCTCTTAATCCAGGAGGAACTCCACAATTTCCTCCCTCTACCCAAGATTCTCCATGGTCACCTCCTCAATCCAAGAGGATCTCCATGGTTCCTTTCCTCAGTCCAGGAGGATCTCCATGGTTCCCTCTCAATCCAGAAAGATCTCCACAATTCCCTCTCAATCCAAGAGGATCTCCATGGTTCCCTCTCAATCCAAGCAGATCTCCATGGTCATCTCCCTCAATCCAAGATTCTCCATGGTTCCCTCTCTCAATCAGAGATGAAATCCAAGGTCATCTCCTTCAATCCAGAAGGAAATCCATGGTTCCCTCTCTCAATCCAAGATTCTCCCTGTGTCCCTCTCTCAATCCAGGAGGATCTCCATGATTCTCTCCCTCAATCCAAGATTCTCCATGGTCCCCTCTCTCAATCCAGGAGGATCTCCACCTTCCCCTCCCTCAATACAAGATTCTCGATGGTCACCTCCTCAATCCAAGAGGATCTCCATGGTTCCCTCCCTCAGTCCAGGAGGATCTCCATGGTTCCCTCTCAATCCAGAAAGATCTCCACAATTCCCTCTCAATCCAAGGGGATCTCCATGGTTCCCTTTAAACTCAAGAGGATCTCCATGGTCATCTCTCTCAATCCAACACTCTCCATGGTTTCCTCTCTCAATCCAGCAGGATCTCCATGGTTTCCTCTCAATCCAGAGGATCTCCACGGTTCCCTCTCTCAATCAGAGATGAAATCCAAGGTCATCTCCTTCAATCCAGAAGGAAATCCTTGGTTCCCTCTCTCAATCCAGGAGGATCTCCATTGGCATCTCCCTCAATCCAAGCAGATCTCAATGGTTCTTTCTCTCAATCCAAGAGGATCTCCATGGCTGCCACTCTCAATCCAAGAGGATCTCCATGATTCCGACTCAATCCGAGATTTTCCATGGTCCACTCTCTCAATCCAGGAGGATTTCCACCTTCCCCTCCCTCAATCAAAGATTCTCGATGGTCACCTCCTCAATCCAAGAGGATCTCCATGGTTCCCTCTCTCAATCCAAGAGGATTTCCATGGTTCTGTCTCAATCCAAGATTCTCCATGGTCCCCTCTCTCAATCCAGGAGGATCTCCATGATTCTCTCCCTCAACCCAAGATTCTCCATGGCCACCTCCTCAATCCAGGAGGATCTCCATGGTTCCTTTCCTCAGTCCAGGAGGATTTCCACGGTTCCCTCTCAATCCAGAAAGATCTCCACAATTCCCTCTCAATCCAAGGGGATCTCCATGGTTCCCTCCCTCAATCCAAGCAGATCTCCATGGTTATCTCCCTCTATCCAAGATTCTCCATGGTTCCCTCTCTCAATCAGAGATGAAATCCAAGGTCATCTTCAGTCCAGAAGGAAATCCATGGTTCCCTCTCTCAATCCAAGATTCTCCCTGCTTCCCTCTCTCCATCCAGGAGGATCTCCATGATTCCCTCCCTCAATCCAAGATTCTCCATGGTTCCCTCTCTCAAAACAAGGTTCTCCATGGTCATCTCCCTCAATCCAAGAGGATTGCCATGGCTGCCACTCTCATTCCAAGAGGATCTCCACGATTCCCTCTCAATCCAAGATTCTCCATGGTTCCCTCTCTCAATCCAGGAGGATCTCCAGGTTTCCCTCTCAATCCAAGCAGATCTCTAAGCTCTCCCGTGGCCCCAGAGCTCACCGGTGCCCCTCTCCTGGTGGCTCCAGCCCCCCGTGCTCCGTGCCCACTCCGGGCGGTGCCGTGGTGGGGCAGGGTGGGGCAGGGCGGGGCCGGGGTGGTTACCTGGCCAGATGATGGCTTCCAGCAAGGTGACCCTTCTAGCCAGGACCTCCAGCCGGGCCTGCTGCCGCAGGAGGGTTTGGAAGCTACTGGCCTGGGGGAGAGGGAGAGAGCAGAGCAGAGCAGAGCACGGCGCGTTGGCCCCGCGGGGGACACGGCACAGGGACACGGGACAGGGACATGGGACGGGGACATGGCATAGCAGGGGTGGCACAGCGTGGCGGGGGGGTACGGCAGGGGTGCGGGGCACGAGGAGGGGGTGCCAGGTCTCCAAGGAGGGCTCTCCAAGGGGTGCCGGGGGCTCCCCCATCCCTGCAGATCCATGGGGACAGGGCGGTCCCTCATGTTGGCCCTGCTGGCTAGGTGTCCCTGACAGTGCCCTGATGGGGACACCGATGTCCCCGACCTGGGGSTGCTCCCTCTGCCACCCCCAGCACACTGAGCCTCCCAAAACATGGGGGGACATGTCCCCAAACCGCCTAGGGGGCCACCAGCTTGTCCCCAACACCGAGACTGTCACAGGTGTCCCTGCCCGAGGTGGGCAGTGCCCTGGGGGGCTCTGGGGTGCCCATTTGGGGTGAGAGTGGGACCCTTTGAGTGGTGCCCTGTGCTGGCCATGACGTCACCATGTGGGCGATGGTCACCGACATCACGACGGCTCAGGGTCACCGTGAGGGATGGGGGTCACCCTCTGAAGTGAGGTCACCCCGCTGTCCCCAACACCCCCCCGGCCAAGAGGGGAGGGGCCGCCAAGTGTCCCCTCCCCGCAGCTCGGTGACAGCAGCGAGCCGAGCGCCGCCGTGACCCCACTGGGACCCGGCGAGCGGGCAGCAGGGGTGGGGGTCACCCCGGGGGTCCCCGGCCCCCTACTCACCGTAGAGCCCAATCATTGTTTCCAAGATTAAAACCCTCTCCGCTAAAATCTTCAGCGCCTCGCGCAGCTGGTGCAAACCCTCCCCCTGCGAGAGAGGGACGGGCTGAGGGGGGGACACAGCCCCGGGGAGGGGACATGGGGACCCCCCGCCTCCTGGCACCCCCTGACTGCCCGCGACACCAGGGCAAGGAGTGGGGGGTCTGAACCCACCCTGTGCCCCCCGTGTTGAGGGGGGTCCCGGCGGGGCCCGTCACCCCGCTCAGGTGACATTGGCACGGCCAGGGACACCCAGTGCCACCNCCCGCCTCCTGGCACCCCCTGACTGCCCGCGACACCAGGGCAAGGAGTGGGGGGTCTGARCCCACCCTGTGCCCCCCGTGTTGAGGGGGGTCCCGGCGGGGCCCGTCACCCCGCTCAGGTGACATTGGCACGGCCAGGGACACCCAGTGCCACCGCTGGGGTGTGGGGGTGAGACGTGGGCAGGGCTGGGGACACCCAGGGCGTCACTGGGGTGGCAGGGATGAGGTGTGGGGCACTGGGCATTACTGGGGACCCCCAGTGCCACCACTGGGGTGACAGGGATGAGGTGTGGRGCCATTACTGGGGACCCTGTGCCACCATTGGGGTCCCAGGGTGAGATGTGGGACACAACTGGCGACCCCCCGTGCCGCCATGGGGACAAGCTATGGGACAAACGGGAACAAACGGGGACCCGCAGGATGTCGTTGGGGTCCCGGGGACAGGACACAGAGGACATCAGGGAGGGGTCTGGATGTCCCCTTGTGCCCATCACCCTCCAACCCAAACCCTGTTGGCACCGCGTCCCCCTCCTGTGCCCGCTGTCCCCTCCCGTGCCCGCTGTCCCTTCCCCTGCCCGCTGTCCCCTCCCATGCCCACCGTGCCCGCTGTCCCCGTGGCACTCACCCAAGTGCCCCTGTCGCCCGGCTCGCCCCGGGGGCCCGGCTCGCCCTGAAACACAGAGAGGAGGGGGTCTGGCAGTGGGGGGCGCGGGGGCTGYGGCCGGGGGGGACCCCACCCCCACCTACCTGTGCCCCGTCCTGCCCGCGGCTGCCCGGGTGGCCCTGGGGACCCTGCGGGGGGACAGAGCCCGTCAGAGCACGGGGGGCACGGCTGGAGCCCCCCGACACGGGAGAGGCTGGCAGAGCCCCCAGGTGAGTCCCACAGCCATCCCCAAAACCTCCATTACCCCGCAACAGAGCCCCCAAAACCCGACCATGACCCCACAATGGAACCCCCAAACCTCCCCAGCTGAGACCCCACATCAAACCCCCCGAACCCCTCGAAGACCCCATAACAGGCCCTTCAAATCCCCCATTACCCCATACCAGATCTGTCAAAACCCCCATTACCCCAGAACAGAACCCCCAAAACTCCCCCATCCGAGACCCTACACCAGATCCACCAAAGCCCCCACAAGACCTCACACCAGGCCCTAAATCCCCCCCATTACCCCACACCAGATCCCTCAAAACCAGCATTACCCCACAACAGAACCCCCAAAACTCGCCCAGCTGAGACCCCACACCAGATCCCACAAACCCCTGCCATGATCCCATACCAAACCTCCCAAAGACCCCACACCAGGCCCCTCAAAACCCCCATTATGCCACACCAGACCCCCAAACCCCCACCCCATTACCCCACACCAGACCCTCCCCATATCCCCTCCATGGCTCCACACCAGATCCATCAAAACCCCCATTGCCCCACAAGAAAACCCCCAAAACTCCCCCAGCTGAGATCCCAGACCAAACCCCCAAAATCCCTTTATGACCCCACACCAGAGTCCCAAACCCCCCAAGACTCCACACCAGATCCCCCAAACCTCCCCCCATTACCCCACACCAGATCCCCCCAAACTCCTCCATG